ATTGTTTCTCCCCTCGAATTAATTGACTAAATTAATGTACTGTCGTGTATGCTTATTTCACTTATCTCGGTATTGTTCATGAAAGCGATGTTTCAGGGCTCGGGTAACCCCTTTTCACTCACCCATGCTTATTCCTCATTTAGGCTCACAAGAATATCACTTTGGCCCTGATCGATTGAATTATGTACATATGTACACATTGCCAGTGTTTGTTTGCTTATTAATTTGTTTGTTTGTACTTTAATCCCTCTAACCCCCTGTGATTTGTTTGTTGCGCCTAATCCAAAGGCAAGCTTGTTTTTTTCTTGCATGTCACTAGCATGCAGATGTGTTCGTCCCACTTCCATCCCAACCTATCTCATCGTTGTGGGCGGCTCTCATTGCGGTTGTTTTCGTTTTGAACCATATGTCGTTTTCGGTTCAAGGTCATCTTAGCAGTGGTGTGTGTGTGGGGGGTGGGGTGTCGGACGGATTCAATTTTCATCCAATGGTATAATCCGTTGGTGCCTAGTCTCATGGAGTTTTGTTGTTTTTGCGATGAACTCGTAGTTCACTGACAGCAGTTGGATCGTGTTGCGTAGCTCACTTGAGACTTTGTGTAAATTGATGATCGTCCTAGAGAGCTTTTAGTACAGCCTGCACAATGAACTAAATCGATGCGACTAACTAATAAGATGCGCATCTAGGCACCTTTATTGGATTCCGCTATCAAACGTGTTCTCTGAAAACAATAATATACGTGCCGAGGAAACAAACGCTACATTGTTTCGACAGATGAGTACTTCGCACAAGAACGCAATCGATTTTTACAAAACTAATTCACCGAGTTTGTCTCCGACGTTCCAAACGTTGTATGTTCATTGATTCAACCGAATTGCCCTCTGCCTAGACATGGTTTTCCATACACCTCGTTTTAATATACTGTATGATATCTGAGAACTAGCTAAATGACAGTGGCAAAAGCTAGCTCTTGACAATTGAAAAACAGAAAACTAACCATTTAAGGAATAGGTTATTTCTTACAGACAGGAAAATATGGCATATTTTTAATGATCGTCCAAACCTACATGTGGGCCTTTGTGAACAGAGGCGCTTCCCTGAATTTGCACTGATGGTGTTGGTCTTAGAATAGTTTCAGTTTGCATAATTAATAACGTGACGTTTTGATGTGTCAGTTGTTAGGTGCTTCTGACGTACAGAGCTTTTGATTTAAGCTTCAGCACAGAAATTTCCGTCTTATCCTTAGGTGCCTGTTGTTCACTGTCGCTAGTTACAGAGAACATGACCAAGTGTCTCTTCATGTACCAGTTAGTCCTAGCGAGTAATGTCCGACTCACTCATTTCCTGTATAACACCACGTAATTGTAAGCGCCAATGGGTCGTCTTACAAGCCTAATTGAACTTTGCAGTATAACTGGGACCCACCAAAAATTATCAAACTGTGACTGTGTGTCGAAGATTTGAGGTTCAATCAACAGAATAGTCCTATTGGCTTTCGGTTCAATGATGCGCCTAACCGGCGGCGTTCAAGTTCTCTTTTTCCAAAGATCATGCAGAAGTTTACCTCACCCAATTTTTCTTCAAAATTCCTATATCCAAGAGCAGGCTCAACAAGTTGTCTTTTGAATAAATGTTCTACCATCCCCATTGTATGATCATTTTGTGTCTGTAGTTTTCACCTTTTTACTGTACATCTTACTTGTAACAGACAGGTAATGCTCCGCCCTGATATTCAGTCTCAGACTATGACTTATCGTTTCCGAACGGTAATTTCGCGAGATCGGTTACACGAGATGCTCATTTCTAGGCTTCCTACAGAAAAGCACGATTATGTGGGTTGATAAAAGTTCAAAACCTTTAACAAATAGGGAAGTCCGGTCAGAGTTTCACAGAGAATATATCTGCCGTCAAACTGGACTGTTGGTGGTCGGCTTCATGCTTGTTTTTTCTCTCTATACGATACATATTGGGTACCGTATTGTATATGATTTATTATTATTTTTTGTAGTTTTCATAACTGATTTGATTTAATCCCTCTTTCCCGAACGTATTTTCATTCTTGCTCTGGCAGATGCAATGCACTTCTACGTCACCAAAAGTTATGACGAGTTCACCCCATATCGAAACCACGGTTGCATTGTCGATGTGCAACCCCCTCTCCAGTTGCGTCCTCGTGATGCTCGGACCGCTGAGGGACCGCATTCGGGACCATATATTGAGACCGGATTGGATTGTTTAAATGCACGAACCGGAAACGCGGACGGTTTGCCTGTCAATTCTGGTCCTCTGGTAAACACGGCAGCGGATACATGTGCCTCGGTGGCTGAAGCCACAGCAACAGGACTTTCGGCCGCGTCCAACCTGGCATCCAGAGTGAATGGACCCGCACCGTTGGACGAGATCACTGGGTTTGAAAGTGGCTATCATATGGACAAGGAATCCAATATTATCGTCCTACTCGGGAGCACCTCAGCTTATGTGATCGCTCTGGAAGGCACAGACGAAATGTTCCGTTGGGCAGAAACCATGTCACGCATCTTGACTGGTGAGTCTCTTCGCGTTTTTGCTGGTCTGGTAATTGATGGAGCCAAGATTGGATTACACTTGTTTATTTTACTGTAAAGTGCGTTTAAGCGAACTTGTCTGACCACTTTCAACTTCGCCATATACTTATGTTTCACACTGCCTTAGGTTAGCATGAATGGAAGAGATGTAAGCTATTATGTCTGTTAGATAGATAGAGAATGGTTTTTTTCGCTGGTGAATAAGAAAAGAAAGTGGTTCTCCGTGATCAGTACAGCATACTTGACTAGATCTTAAAGATGGAGTCAATGAATATCACACGCAGCTTAATTTTTCGACCAACGCGAACTGTTGATATTACGAAGTCTAACACACGAATTAATCGCGGTGTTGTAAAGCATAAGACAAGCAACATACAAGGTGCACGTATATATATATATATATATATATATATATATATATATATATATATATATCAAATCTTTACAGATACGGTACCCAAATAACTATGAGTTGAGAATTAGAGAAACAGAACAACGGAGAGAATAAAAACAGTCAATTGTGGGGATGACAACTTTTTTGCTTTT